GATCAGGACCCTCCCGATATGTTGGTATCTTGGGGCCCCAACTGCTATGAGGTCCTTTGTCACCTTCTGTACAGCGTAACCTATAGAGATTCACTGATGATATGCATGTACAAATACACGTGTACATGGCTACTACTGAAGCGTGATTAAAGTGGCATGTTCAGGAACTTCTGGAACCACCAAAATAAGACCGATACATCGCTATTCCTGCCTTTCTAGGAGCAGCTTCAACACAGAACAAGTGCTAGACACCCTCACAAAATGAGTTCTTCCACTACTACACAGGGATGCGTGATGGGACTCCAGAGGTGGGTTCCAGGCTCTGTAAACAGTGCCTTGATAAAGTCTTCCTCCCACTTGAAATGTTCCCCATGTTGTCATGTGACAAATCAGAACTGTCAATGTATTTATCGGGATTGGATGTGATGGACCGACACAAAGTGGCACATAATTGTGAAGTGGAAGGAAAATGAGAAATGGTTTCCAACATCTGTGACCAATAAATCTGTGAAAAGTGTGGCTGCATTTGTATTCAGCCCCCCCGGAGTCCATATTTGTAGGACCCCCTTTGGCTGCAATTCCAGCTGCAAGTCTTTTTGGGGATGTCTCTTTGCACATCTAGAGAGGGACATTTCTGCCCGTTCTTCTTTGCAGAATCCCTCAAGCTCTGTCAGATTGGATGGAGAGCGTCTGGGAACAGCAATTTTCAGGCCTGGCCACAGATTCTCCATTGGATTTGGGTCTGGACTGTGAATGGGCCATTCTAACACATGAAGATGCTTTGATCTGAACCATTCCATTGTAGCTCTGGCTGGATGTTTCGGGTTGTTGTCCTGCTGGAAGGGGAACCTCCTCCCCGGTCTCAAGTCTTTTGAAGACTCTAACAGGTTTTCTTCTAAGATTGCCCTGTGTTTGGCTCCATCCATCTTCTCATCAACTCTGACCAGCTTCCCTGTCCCTGCTGAAGAAAAGCATCCCCACCACATGATGCTGCCACCACCATGTTTCACGGTGGGGATGGTGTGTTCAGGGTGATGTGCAGTGTTAGTTTTCCGCCACACAGAGTTTTGCTTTTAGACCAAAAAGTTCCATTTTGGTCTCCTCTGAACAGAGCCCCTTCTTCCACATGTTTGCTGTGTCCCCCACATGGCTTCCCACAAACTGCAAACGGGACTTCTTATGGCTTTCCTCCAACAATGACTTTCTTCTTGTCACCCTTCCATAGAGGCCAGATTTGTGAAGTGCACGACTAATAGTTGTCAGGTGGACAGATCCTCCCACCTGAGGTGTGATCTCTGCAGCTCCTCCAGAGTTCCCATGGGCCTCTTGGCTGCTTCTCTGATGAATGCTCTCCTTGCCCAGCCTGTCAGTTTAGGTGGACGGCCATGTCTTGGTAGGTTGGCAGTTGTGCCGTACTCCTTCCATTTTTGGATGATGGATTGAACAGTGCTCCGTGAGATGCTCAAAGCTTGGGAGATTTTTTTATAACCTAACCCTGCTTTAAGCTTCTCCACAACTTTATCCCTGACCCGTCTGGTGTGTTCCTTGGCCTTCATGATGCAGTTTGTTCACTAATGTTCTCTAACAAACCTCTGAGGGCTTCACAGAACAGCTGGATTTATACTGCGATCACATGACACACAGGGGGACTCTATTTACTAATTAGGTGACTTCTGAAGGCAATTGGTTCCACTAGATTTTAGTTTGGGGTATCTGAGTAAAGGGGGCTGAATACAAATGCCGCCATACTTTTTTTACAGATATATTGGTCACAAATGTTGAAAACCATTTCTCATTTTCCTTCCATGTCACAATTATGTGCCACTTTGTGTCGGTCTATCAAATAAAATCCAAATAAAATACATTGATGGTTCTGGTTGTCACATGCCAACATGGGGAACATTTCAAGGGGGAAGAAGAATTTTTCAAGGCACTGTACCTACTGGATCATTATGAGGGCATCACCATCACTGACAGAGAAGACCTTGTTTTATACAGTATTAATGCAAATGAAAAAAAAAACTGCTGCAGGAGATAATCTGCCTTCTCACCCATGTAAGAGTCCTTCATGTCCGTCTGATCCTTGGTAGAGTTTATCCAGGTAACATTCTGCTGCCCGGCGCTGTAAACTAATATCCCTCCTGACCAACCATAGGCACCTACTGCCCCGAGGATGGCCCATCCTGAGGAGGAGGAGAAGACAAAGTTAACTGATCGATGGTCTGCAGGACAGAGAACCAAACACGCACCACCTCCAGAGCTGGAACCAAAGCTGATTTAATAAAAGTCCGACATGGACAACTTATTATAAAAGGCCCACCAATATAGGAGGTCCATGGTTAAATGACAATCACCACTAAAAAAGGCTCTCCGTTATAGGAGGCCCATGGTTCAAGGATGATCACCACTAAAAAAGGCTCTCCATTATAGGAGGCCCACGGTTAAAGGACGATCACCACTAAAAAAAAGGCTCTCCATTATAGGAGACCCATGGAGAAAGGATGATCACCACTATATAGGCTCTCCATTATAGAAGGCCTACCTTTGACACCTGAAAGATGTGCTTATTACACATTGATCCATCAGTACGTTTGAGTCTCTTTAACCCATTAATTCAGTTATAGAATATTATTCAGGCCTACATGGGTTAAGTGGTTCTGCTTTTAGGGGCAACAAGGACAACTGCCTATTAAAGAAGGCCCACCAATAACTATGTCCATATTTAAAGAAGGCCCACCAATAACTAGGTCCATAATTGAAGAAGGCCCACCAATAACTAGGTCCATAATTAAGGAAGGCTCTCCAATAACTAGGTCTATAATTAAGAAGGCCCCCAATAACTAGGTCCATAATTAAAGAAGACCCACCAATAACTAGGTCCATAATTAAAGAAGGTCCACCGTTAAATGAAGCCCACCAATGGACTTCTGAATGATGGAGCCACTCCAACAGAGTGTGCTTATTACACATCTAACCATCGCTATGTTCTAGTCTCTGTAACTCATCGATCCAGTTATGGAATACGAAATACTAAATGAGGTCTCCTTATCATCCAGGCCCGCTGAGGTATCATGGTGGTTCGGGTCCAAACAGGCCGAGGAGAAAGCTCTGAAGACACTAGGCTTTTTCCAATTATAAACGGCTCACATCTTTTCATGGTGTGTTTCTTAAAATCCATTCTTCTCCTAACCAATAGTTGCTGAAATGCCTTCAGAGAATCGACGTCCAGGAATGTGTAGAAGACCACGTGTTTGAGGTGTGAAGTCCCTTACGAACAGTAAAAATGACTTCTTCTTACAATACATGATAATGACCTGTGTTAGGGTGGCACTGAACCCCTCCTGGGACATCTCCATCTGGAAGGAGACTGCATTCTTTGAGTGCATTCCTGTAGAAGAAAGACATTGATAAGGATACAGTCCCTTTTGAAAGTGGTCACATTTTAGGAGGAAGGTACAGGAGTCCCTCGGCAGCTTTGTCCTCACCTGGCACCACCTTCAGTAAACTGTGTACCAGAACTGCAATGGGTGACAGAGAAGTATGGAGGACTTCATTCAGCTCAGGGTCATCTGTTTTCTTCTAGATGTCTACCTAACAGCCATATATTAGGTTCCAAGGACCAATTCCTTGGCTGAGAACAGGTCCTCCTTAAAACCCACAAGACAGATCTAGCACCCTCCGAATGTAAGATGCTAGGTGTCAGGGTCCTGTCCACGGCAGAAGTTCTGGAAGATCTGGCATTTCTGCCAGTACTCCCGCATGGCCGCAGAAGTACACATCAGCCTCAGTCTGGTGCCAGACGGCCTTTATAAGGAGGCTCATCACTTCCTCAAGTTGCTGGATGATATTTAGCTCCCGTGCCCTGTTCCTGGTTCCTGTGACTTCCTGTTACCGACTCGGCTTGCTCCTGGACCTGTCTACTCTGCTTTACCCCTGATCTGACCTCGGCCTGGCTTACAGATACTCTCTCTCTCTCTCGCTCCTCTGTGAATGACCTCGACTATATCTGCTCTGATTCCCACCTGCCACCTGACTTTGGCTTGAACCGACTACCCAGTGAACATCTAAATCCCGGAAGGGCTTGCATACCACGCACAGGCGCCTCCTGTCTGCAGACCTATCTCTGTGTACCAGCTGTGCTTCTGAGTGGACCACCAACCAGCACTCCTACAGGCGACCTATGCAACTTTGGGCCTGACTTCCCACTGTCCCACTCTCAGGGGTATCCGGAACTTAGCCGCAAGGGAAGCCCTCTCTCCATTGGCCCTCCATCACCAGGTACGTGATACTAGGTGTAATCAAGAGAGCAGTGTTCCTTTGTCCTGGTCTGTTCAGGGTTTCAAAGGCTGGGAGTTTGATTGCTTGCCCCTTCCTTTGGAAGACGTTTCCAGAACTTAGAGAAGGAGGTCCAAATGAGCAGCCTGAATATTCATCGTGCTCCAAGCAGGGGCGGGCTGACCATTCGAGCACTCAGGCACTGCCCGAGGGCCCGGGGTCAGTAGGAAGCCCCATGAAATGCCCCTGGTACCTTTTTATAGGCTTTTTTGAGTGTAGGCAAGGACACAGGGGCCCCATGATCCCCTATTGCCCGGGGGCCCCATGAGTTGTCAGTCCGCCCCTGGAAAAGGAATATCCAAGTAGGGGTTGGAAAGGAAATAAATAGTATGAAGCACTGGAGAGGTGGGTTCTCTCTCACTGGGGAGTTGGGTTCTCTCTCACTGGAGAGGTGGGTTCTCTCTCACCGGAGAGGTGGGTTCTCTCTCCCCAGGATTACCCCAGACCCTGTGGGGCTGCGGCCATTAGGCATGCATGCGCTGACCCCGCCCTGTCATGTGACGTGGCCTACCACTTGGTGGCTGAGTGGCTGTTGTTCCCAGTCGCTTCCACTTTGTTATAATCCCACTAACAGTTGAGCGTGGAATATTTAGTAGCCAGGAAATATCCCGGATGGACTTATTGCACAGGTGACCACCTATCATGGGACCACGCTTGGAGTCACTGAGCTCCTGAGAGCGACCTATTCTTTCACCAATGTTTGTAGAAGCAGTCTGCATGCCTAGGAGCTTGATTGTATACACCTGTGTCCATGGAGGGGATTGGAAAACCTGAATCACATGATATGGAGGGGATTGGAACAGCTGAATCACATGATATGGAGGGGATTAGAACACCTGAATCACATGATTGGGAGGGGATTGGAACACCTAAATTACATGATTGGGAGGGGATTGGAACACCTGAATCACATGATTGGGAGGGGATTGGAACACCGGAATCACATGATTGGGAGGGGATTGGAACACCTGAATCACATGGTTGGGAAGGGATTGGAACACCTGAATCACATGATATGGAGGGGATTGGAACACCTGAATCACATGGTTGGGAGGGGATTGAAACACCTGAATCACATGATTGGGAGGGGATTGGAACACCAGAATCACATGATTTGGAGGAGATTGGAACACCTGAATCACATGATTGGGAAGGAATTGGAACACCTGAATCACATGGTTGGGAGGGGATTGGAACACCTGAATCCCATGATTAGAATGGGATTGGAGCACCTGAATCACATGACTGGGAGGGGATTGGAACACCTGAATCACATGATATGGAGGGGATAGGAACACCTGAATCACATGATATGGAGGGGATTGGAACACCTGAATCACATGATTGGGAGGGGATTGGAACACCTGAATCACATGATTGGAAAGGGGATTGGAACACCTGAATCACATGATTGGGAGGGGATTGGAACACCTGAATCACATGGTTGGAAGGGGATTGGAACACCTGAATCACATGATTGGGAGGGGATTGGAACACTGGAATCACATGATTGGGAGGGGATTGGAACACCTGAATTACATGATCGGAAAGGGGATTGGAACACCTGAATCACATGATTGGGAGGGGATTGGAACACCTGAATCACATGATTGGGAGGGGATTGGAACACCTGAATCACATGATATGGAGGGGATTGGAACACCTGAATCACATGATTGGGAGGGGATTGGAACACCTGAATCACATGATTGGGAGGGCGGGGCCAATACTTTGGGACGTGTTCTAGTAAACATCTCCATGTACGACAGACCAAGAAAAAAAAACCCCAAAACCTGGGTGACGGCACCTTCGATGGTAAAGATCTTCTCCTGCAGGACCTCCTGGAGCTCAGAGAGGGCTGTAAAGTCGGTGACTCTAAAGATGCGGTCATCGGACGACGCGATGGTTTGTAAATTCTTTGTAGGCCGCTTTATTTCCGAAGGCGTTCCCAACCTGCGGGGGGGGAGGGGGGAACACGAAATATTATCCCGGAGCTCTTGACCGAACTGGCAGCATATTTGAGGCCACGGATGAACAGATCTGACCGGCCTGAGGAGTCTGAGAACGGTTGGTGTGAATCTGGGTCAAAGTTTGAGAGTCGACCACCGGCTGTAAAAAAAACAGCAGCTGCAGGCATCACCCCGGTATAACCATATACGGGTGTGTCGCTGGTCCAGAGGGGGTTAAACTCATAACTCTAGTAGTAACATCTCATAAAACACTCCAAAGATATAAGTAGCCATCCTATGACCCAGTGTAGCACCAACCATCCCACCAACCAATCCAGTGTACCACCAACCAATCCACCAACCCAATGTAGCATTAACCATCCCACCAACCCAGTGTACCACCAACCAACCCACCCACCCACCAACCAACCAACCCAGTGTAGCACCAACCAACCCACCAACCCAGTGTAGCACCAACCATCCCACCAACCCAGTGTACCACCAACCAACCCACCAACCCAGTGTATTACCAACCAACCCACCCACCCACCCACCAACCAACCCAGTGTACCACCAACCAACCCACCAACCCAGTGTACCAACAACCAACCCACCCACCCACCACCAACCAACCCAGTGTACCACCAACCAACCCAGTGTACCACCAACCATCCCGCCAACCCAGTGTGCCACCAACCATCCCACCAACCCAGTGTAGCACCAACCCTACATTTGAATTAGGTGGTGATGACCATCCATGGGAAGGTCACCCTACTACAACCGTTATCCTATAGGTGTGACACATGTGGAACGTCTGGAAGTTCCTGGGACACTTACCCCAATGGCGAAGCACACTATGCCTTTTTCTTTTGCCTTTTTGGCTGAATCTTTAAGTTTTCTGATGTCTCCAGCTGTCCGTCCATCAGTTATCACAATGAGGACTTTCATAGCGTCATCTCGGGCCCCTCTGCTGGGGACAAAGAGCTGCGTCCTGAGGAGGGAAATATAAACAGGATGAGCTTGTATGGTAATAGCACACGGGGGGATCATTTTGTTCCTAAATTTAAATTTGGATGAATTTTTCGTTATTCGAAGATTCGGATATATCTGAAATCCTGAATTACTATAGTAATGAATTTAGATAAATCGGAGATAACGAAATTAAATTTCATCCAAAATGCGAATCACATTCGAAAAAGAAATCGAATTTGAAAATGAGAATAGAACAAAATAGAATAGAATATAAAGGAATAGAATAAAAATAGAAAAAAAAAAATAGACTGGAACAGAACAGAATAGAAAACAAAAGAAAAGGATAAAATAAAAAAGAGAAAATAAAGGAAAAGAACAGAAAGCAAGGAATAGAATAGTAAAGAATATAGTAAAACAGAACAGAATAGAAAATAAAAGAATAGAATAGAAGATAAAGGAATAGAATATAAAAAAATAGAAAAGAGTAAAACCGAGCAGAATAAAATAATAAAAGAATTGAATAGAAAATAAAGGAATATAACAGAAAAGAAATAGAAAATAAAACAATAGAATAAAATAGAATAGATAATAAAAGATTAGAATAGAAAAGAAAAAAACAATAGAATAGAACCTTCTTAGAATAAATTCAAATTTGAATAGAATAGATTAGATTAGAATAGAAAATAAACTAATAGAATAACATAGAAAAGAATAGAATAGAAAAAAAAAAAATAGAATAGAAATGATTAAATTAGAAAGATTATATGTACAAAATTCAAATTTCAAATAGAATAAATTCAAATTAGAATAGAACAGATTAGAATAGAAAAGAATAGAATAAAACGGAACAAAAAAAGACTAGAATAGAAAAACATAGAGTAAAACAAAACTGAATAAAATAGAATAAAAAATAATGGAATAGAATACAAAAGAATAGAACAGAAAAAAATAGACTAGAGTAAAGCAGAACAGAAAATAAAGTAAAACATAGGATACAATAGAATAGAAAATAAAGGAATAGAAAATAATAGAAAAGAAAAGACTAGAATAAAATAGAACAGAAAATAAAAGAGTAGAATAGAAAAGAACAGAATACAATAAAATAAAATGGAAAGAATATAGATCTTTCGAAATTCAAATTTTGAATAGAATAAATAAAATAAAATTTTGAATAGAGTAGATTAGAATAGAATAGAAAATAAAAGATTAGAATATAATAAAATAGAAAAAAAGAATAGAATAGAAATGATTAAATTAGAAAAAAATAAAAACATCCTCCGAAATTCAAATTTTATATAGAATAAATTCAAATTAAGATAGAATAGATTAGAGTAAAATAGAATAGAAAATAAAAGAATAGAATAGATTAGGATAGAATAGAAAATAAAAGAATAGAGAAGAATAGAAAATAAAAAATATAGAATAGAAAAATAAAAGAATAGAATAGATTAGAATAGAAAAGAATAGAATTGAAAATGAAAGAATAGAGTAAATAGAAAATAAAAGAATAGAAAAGATTAGAATAGAGAAGAGAAGAACAGAATAGAAAAGAATAGAAAAAAAATACAAGAATAGAGTAGAATAGAAAATAAAAAAAAATAGAATAAAAAATAAAAGACTAGAATAGATAAGAGTAGAATAGAAAATTAAAGAATAGACCAGAATAAAATATGATAAAATAGAAAAAAAAAACAATAGAATAGAGTTAAATAGAATTGTCTTCCGAAATTCACATTTCAAGTAGAATAAATGTGCATGCGAATGCCAATTTGAATTTTTCCAAATTCGGTCGAATTTATTTCAATTTGATAGAATTTGGAAAATTTTAATCGAATACGAAAATGAATAAATGAAACGAAACAAATTCTGAAAACGAATTTAACGAGACAAAATTAACTGATTAAGGAAGCGAAGCAAAACAAATGTCTTCGTTGTGCACGTGTCTAGCTGAGAGAAGATGTATGTTGCTCAGTGAGTTGGCTCATAGACTCATTGGGGGGTTATTTACTAAAACTGGAGGGTGCAAAAATCTGGTGCAGTTCTGCATAGAAACCAATCAGCTTCCAGGATTTATATCCAAAGCTTCAAAAGCTGAAGGTAGAAGCATACATGTTGAGTACATATGGCCACCCTCATGTACAGGTTCTTCTTGTGATGGTCCACTCAGGTCTGCCGGTGGGGATGACTATGAGGATGAAGGTGTGGTCAGGGTGGGGGATTGGAAGAGATGGAGGAGAATGTTGAGTACATATGGCCACCCTCACAGGTGTACAGGTTCTTCTTGTGATGGTCCACTCAGTGTCTGCCGGTGGGGATGACTATGAGGATGAAGGTGTGGTCAGGGTTGGGGGAACCATGGCAAGAGATGGAGGAGAACAATGACATAACTCAGGTAGAGTACATATGGCCACCCTCGTGTACAGGTTCTTAGTCTGATGGTCCACTTAGTGTCTGCCGGTGGGGATGACTATGAGGATGAAGACGTGGTCAGGGTTGGGGGAACCATGGCAAGAGATGGAGGAGAACAATGACATAACTCAGGTAGAGTACATATGGCCACCCTCGTGTACAGGTTCTTAGTCTGATGGTCCACTTAGTGTCTGCCGGTGGGGATGACTATGAGGATGAAGGTGTGGTCAGGGTTGGGGGGGGAACCATGGCAAGAGATGGAGGAGAACAATGACATAACTCAGGTAGAGTACATATGGCCACCCTCGTGTACAGGTTCTTAGTCTGATGGTCCACTTAGTGTCTGCCGGTGGGGATGACTATGAGGATGAAGACGTGGTCAGGGTTGGGGGAACCATGGCAAGAGATGGAGGAGAACAATGACATAACTCAGGTAGAGTACATATGGCCACCCTCGTGTACAGGTTCTTAGTCTGATGGTCCACTTAGTGTCTGCCGGTGGGGATGACTATGAGGATGAAGACGTGGTCAGGGTTGGGGGAACCATGGCAAGAGATGGAGGAGAACAATGACATAACTCAGGTAGAGTACATATGGCCACCCTCGTGTACAGGTTCTTAGTCTGATGGTCCACTCAGTGTCTGCCGGTGGGGATGACCGAGGATGAAGACGTGGTCAGGGTTGGGGGGCAACAATGACATAACTCAGGTAGAGTACATATGGCACCCTCGTGTAAGGTTCTTCTGACTCAGATTGGGGGAACCACTGTATGGCAAAAGAGACAAGGAGGACAATGACATAACTCAGGGAGATGGTGAGGGGGAGTTCTACACCTTTCTGTCTTTCTTTTTGGACTCCCTTTCTGAGGAATTATGTTTTTTGGTCCTCGTGTTACATTTTATATCTTCCTCACCTAACAATGGTGCACCTCGGCGTTGCGTACAAAAAAAATGGGTCCCATCTAAAACCCTTAAAATACCTGTTCATTTCAGGGGCTGAAATACTAGACATGGCCATCCCAGGGAGAGAAGGCAGAGTGGAGAACACATCCTGATGTCCTAGTGGAGGACAAAAGTCGATGAGAAAAATCATGAGAGAAATATAGACAGGGGAATGTGGGGTAGGGAGCAGTCCACCAATCCATATCATCTCAGCAAGTCCCGAAGTGAGGTGGAGATACCCTGAATGGACATCTAGTAGATAAAAGGACGATGGAAAAAAACAAAGACTGGAGGCCAAGGTGTCCTGGGTGGAGTGCTGGGTACACGTGTCCTATGTATGTCGGCCTGTACATCCTTCAGACGGGATGCAACAAAACGAGCGTCATC